AAGAAATTCGAGATAAATACTCAACGAAGACGCGTGTGCAACTTTATAGTAACATATGCTTCTCGTCTTTTTCATATTTTGCCCTCTTACATATATATGTATATATGTGCCAAGTTTGTAAGAACAATATTAACTTCTTCGTTATATTCTCATTTCACGCAGAGTTTTAGTTCAAGAAAAATAATAACAAACCTAGTTCTTCCCCTCGAAGAGCTATTTTTTTTAGTGAAATGCATACGTGGGAGGGCCAAAAAAAATAATGTGACCTTTAAACACTCATCGTAAAACTGATAATTTACTTTATTTTTCACTTTATTTTGAAATTACTATATAATATATGAGTAGAGATAAAATATGTTCTATGAACAAAATTTTAAATTAATAGAAAGAAGGCAATCTTGTAAATTGATAAGGGTCCAAATGATAAAAAAGCGATTCTTCAAAAATTATATGAAACTGATAGAGAAAAGAAAAATGATGATAGAAAGAATAAAGAATTTTGTTAAACTATTAACATATAAAGGAAAAAAATAAAGAAAATAAAACACGTAAAAGTTGAAGGGTTTTACTCTCTAAATCTGAATTATTAAAAATGTTTACTAATTTAAATTAGTGACTCACTTTCTGCTTTAGAATTAGTTAAATTTTACTAATTGTTAGTAAAAGTTACTAATAATTAGAAAAAATTTAACTAATTCTAAAGCAAAAACCGCTCTCAAGTTGAAGAATGAACTTTTTGTGTTCATGAAATGAATACTTTGCTTCCTCATGAATATCTTTTGTGATCAGTTTACGGTAACTTATTTAGTATTATAATAATGTTAAAGATCACGGAGAGAAAAGAATTGTTGTGGTTACTAAAAATTAAGTCCACAAAACAATTCCGGATTGTCAATATAGAATCAGTAGTTCTATTTGTTTTTGGGACAGAAAAAATTTGTTAAAATAGTATTGTTATTAAAACTATTCGGATTGTTCGGTGAACAAACTGAATTGTTTGATAAACAAAGAAAATTGTTATGGAATAGTTGAAATAACAAAACCAAATTGTTAGATCGGCAATACAATTTGTTGTATTAACAAAACTTTAATCCGTCTAATACAATTTGATCAGTTTTTTCGCCTTCTAAAATAATCGATAACAAATTTCCATAGGTCATATCACCAGTTTTATTTGCATTAAAATCTGTGGAACATGCAGCATCTGAATTAAATACTTTCATCTGAAACCCAAAAATTATTTTGAGTTGAAATTTATTGTTAAATAATATTTAATGTACTGAGCTCCCGCCGGCAATAACTCGATCTGCGCTTGAAGAGAGAATTTCAAGCCAGTCAAGCGGTCGAAAAATGAGAAAATATAAAATTCGAAAATTTTAATTTTGAAATGTACTACCATGTAGAGTATAAAAATGCCCAACTTTTTTGTCTTTGAAATTTTTTTGTAGGACTTTTATTTTTAATAATAATACAAAAACTAAATTTTTTTCCATTCTCAATTTCATTGAAATTTAAAACTTAAATCGTCCTATCTTGAACAAATCTTCATGAAATCAATTAAAAATTGATTTAGTTTCTTGCTTTGCTCTTTTTAACATTTTTATCAATTTTTGTTTTGTTTGAAATGCATTTGTTTAGTTTCACAGTCGAGTTTTTTATTAAACTTTCAAAAAATAACTTTCCTTTTGGTGTGATTATTTAAAACACCACGTTCACTTCCCATTGGAATTTCTCGCGAAAAAATTAAAGATGTTCAATCTCTACTAAAATATCTCACACCAAAAGGAAAGTTATTTTTTGAAAATTTAATAAAAAACTCGATTGTGAAGCCAAACAAATGAACTTCCAACAAAACAAAAATGGAGACATGCTGTTTAATTTTATTTGACTTTGTAAGGGATTTTTTCATTTTCCAGGAAAACATTCTATCTAAAAAAATGGAATAAAATTGATTGTTCTTATTCTCTTGCAATTTAGGTTCAATAAGTAGGTCTTTTGAAGGTAATATGTGTTGTTTGAAGGTAAAAAAATAATGGAGTCATGCTGTTTAATTTTATTTGACTTTATAAGGGATTTTTTCATTTTCCAGGAAAACATTCTATCTAAAAAAATGGAATAAAATTGATTGTTCTTATTCTTTTGCAATTTAGGTTCAATTTGTAGGGTTTTTTGAAGGTAATATGTATATTTGTGTCAATATATTTTTTTAAGTTATGGGCCAAAAACGTTTTTCTCTAATTTTTAAAAATTCAATAGCTTTGGATAGAATATCAGTATAATGTTCGTTAATATCTCAAAAGATGCGTTTTAAAAAACTCTACAAAATATAATTAATAATATACAATCAAATTATTTTACCATAAGTTTAGAAAACATTTGTTAATATGTTAACTTAAAAAGTTATGTATACTTTTTTGCTTATTTTATAATATATTTCTAATATAAGGGTCAAACCATTATATTTCAACTAAAGTGGTCGCTGACTAATTTTTAAAAATTATAATACTTTGCAGGAATGATTTTGAAGTTATCAAGATCACGAAATGAAAAGAATTTTATTAAAAATTTAAATATTTATTGTAAAATATGAATTTAAAGTATATGAGGTGCTAAAAACTGTCAATTTTTTAGCCATTAGAAAATATGCAAAAAAACATAGAATTTACCATAAAAATAAAAAAAAATTATTGGAATTTACTAAGAATGAATAAATTTATCATTATCAATTGATATAATTATTTAAAGATGTGAAGTAATATATAAAATATGATTTCCAAGTGCACCTGTCAAATAACCTAATTTTGCGATTTTTATTCATTAATTATAAAAAATAGAAAACATTAAATTAAATAAAAACTTACCAAATATGAAGTTCTTGCCATAAACTTTTAGAATTTCTTTGCACTTTTCTTCTTTTCTATTCATAAGTATGAAAAATTTAAAAAATAAAATAGCTACTTTGTCTATTTTCACTATTTTTGAAAGTCAATAACTTTCTTGGAGAAAAATGAAAAAATATGGGGTTTCGAAAATTATTTAAATACACACTACATATACATTCACTGAAAATTTCGCATTGGTCCCGAAGCTATTTTCGAAGATAAAGTAAATTAAAAATTTCGTATTTTTTAGGCTATATGGACATGGATTTTAAATCAATGTGAAGGTGGTTCACTGGTGACGACAAACTTCACATTGATTTAATACCTTTAAAACCCATGTCAATATAGCCTAAAAAAGACGAAATTTTTAATTTACTTTATCTTCGAAAATAGCTTCGGGACCAATGCGAAATTTTCAGTGAATGTATATGTAGTGTGTATTTAAATAATTTTCGAGACCCCATATTTTTTCATTTTTCTCCAAAAAAGTTATTGACTTTCAAAAATAGTGAAAATAGACAAAGTAGCTATTTTATTTTTTAAATTTTTCATACTTATGAATAGAAAAGAAGAAAAGTGCAAAGAAATTCTAAAAGTTTATGGCAAGAACTTCATATTTGGTAAGTTTTTATTTAATTTAATGTTTTCTATTTTTTATAATTAATGAATAAAAATCGCAAAATTAGGTTATTTGACAGGTGCACTTGGAAATCATATTTTATATATTACTTCACATCTTTAAATAATTATATCAATTGATAATGATAAATTTATTCATTCTTAGTAAATTCCAATAATTTTTTTTTATTTTTATGGTAAATTCTATGTTTTTTTGCATATTTTCTAATGGCTAAAAAATTGACAGTTTTTAGCACCTCATATACTTTAAATTCATATTTTACAATAAATATTTAAATTTTTAATAAAATTCTTTTCATTTCGTGATCTTGATAACTTCAAAATCATTCCTGCAAAGTATTATAATTTTTAAAAATTAGTCAGCGACCACTTTAGTTGAAATATAATGGTTTGACCCATAAATAAAATTTATTATTAAATTTATAATTGTTAATTATTTGCAAAATTGTACTTTCACCTTAACAAAAGTGTCAACAGACATAGGGATTATATAGATACGCCAATTAATATCATATAAGCGACGTTTTGTTATTGATTAAAAATATTTTAGGTGTTCTTTATTAAAAACAAGTTTGTTTCCAAGAACTATAAATAATAAATTTGGAATCTCAGTGAAAAAGCATGCTTTCTGGTTTCAGTCGATTTAAGGATACAAAAGGGTTAACACACACTGAGAAAAAGAATTATTTGTTTCAAATATAAAGATCAGTTTAAAAGTTTTTGTTTAACCCAACACAGTTTTTATGTTTAATTTTAATATATAGAAAATATTTTCTACTTTGGCTTAAAATTATTATTTGTTTGAATAATTATGTTTGATTCAAACATATTTTCTGTTTGGCTTAAACTGAAAATATGTTTAAAATTTTTATGTTTGATTTAAACATAAAAATTTATTATGAATAAATTGAAATCAACCATAATTTATGTTTAAATTAAATATATTTTCACATTGAATCAACCAGAGAATATATTTAATTTAAACATAAATATGTTTGACTGTATAACAAAGCTATTTTAAGTTTGGGTTAAACATATTATGTTTGAATCAAACATATCGTTTTCTCAGTGCATATGGCAATCGGAGGACATAATATTATCAGGATTTATACTCACATATTAGCTTAGAAAAGTGTCATTTATAGATTTTATTATGAATCTTAGTATAATTTGTAGTGCCAACAAAATCATAGACTTTATACTTTATCTCAGAAAACATGTATGATATAAGTTGTTCCCAAACTGTTTTTCTTAACAATAATTCTTATTTTCCCATACTTACAAGTTCTCTTGGTAGAAACTTTCAAAATATCTACAATAGGTAATGAAAAAATATTTTTTATTCATTTCAATACCATTTCAATTATATTTTCAGATACACAGAGAAAACCGTAAACTGAAATTAAGATTATATTCGTGGCGCATATTTAAGAATATTTTATACTTAAATTCAGTAAATATTATTCTTAAAATAAGAACATCAATCGCATTTGTCAGCATAAATGAAGTTTTTTCTTTATTATTAAAATATATTCACATTAGAAACAAAATTCTACATTTTTAATTTGTCGCCACATGTTTTTTATGGTTTATTTTCTAAAATTTCTTTTAAACTACGTTGTGGATTGTAATAAATTGAAAATGGAGAATGAGGCTTTCAAGATCTGAAAAAAATTTTCATATAATTAAATTTTAATTTATTTAAAAATTACTAAATAATTTAAAATAATTATTATGTATCGGATTGGGTGCATTTGTAATAAATCCAAGTTATGGTTTTTAATTTAAGGCGGTAATACTATTAGTCTAGTTCGGATTAGAACCAGGGTATAGTAAGAATGATTTCTAATAAATCAAGAGCTTGTAAGCAGATGGGAAACGGGAAATCTCATCATTAGGTCCTAAGGCTGCTGCTCATAAGAACACATAGGATTATGGGGGTGATTTGCGTCTTGCAGTACCACCGAATCATCGTAGGAGAAGGCGATGCGTAAAAAAAGAAGACGACCAATGAAGAGCATTCAGTTCAGGAAATAAGAGGTAAGATGTTTCCATAAATTGAAGGAAGTCGCACAAATTGTTAAATCATTGTGATATCCAGAAAAACGTTAAGAGGAAGATTAAAAACTTACTATAAAGTCTTCACAGGTCCTTATCGAAAAAGCGAAAACTAAATAGGATCCGTGATTTGGATTGTTTTACCCAGAAAAAAGTCCTTTTGATATGTAAATTGTTTGAATAAAATATTTTATTTCATTTATTAGCAAAAAATTTATAAAAATATGCTTTTTTGGGCCTCTAAAACCCACTTAACCCCTTAAGATAAAAGTTTTAATTAAAATCAATTGTGTGCTACAAGTGCAGAGAAACCGATCACAAGTTTGCAGACTGTAAGAAAAGCCCAAAAGTTACTTCTTATGCACCTACTACTTTCGCAAGAACAAAGAAACAAAAATAGATCGAAAATCGTTATAAACATGATCGCGCGAGCAAAATGTCATGTACCTTCACTATAGATACAAAACCCTATGGGACGTCTGTAGAATATCCTGAAATATCTGTGAAGGTTATTTGAAATAAAACAATCACCTTGACAAAAGTGTTAACAGACATCGTAATCATTGATGCTCCATTTAACTCAATAGGTCTTCTTGATCGTATCATTATCATGATCAAATTTCTTTTTGTTTTTTCAGTCAGCGTAGTCCATTTTATATGATAAATTACATCACAAATGGCTAAACTCTAAAACACATATATAACATAATTATTATTTAATTATTTTGATTAAAAAATCATTTTTATTTAAAATGTTAAATCACAATGAAATTAATTAAATTAATATTTATATGTAAATAAATTAAATTAACAATCCAAATTACCTTTTCTATCATTAGCTCTCCAAAAAAACAGTACAAAAATATTTGCACTAAGAAGGCGCTCAACATTATAAACATTGTCAAAAATTTTAAGCTCATTATACTTAGTTTTGATAATTGATAAACTACTGTACATAAACTTATGGTAGACGCAAAAAATTGCATAAAAACCATTGAGCCAAATAGATCATTTAATTTTTTATTTAGTCTATATAGATGTTTTTCAATGCAGATATTTAAAAATAATTTTTGCACATATAGAATTTCTTAATATTTAATAATATATATATTATTTTATAAATAAAATTAAATAAATATAATTAAGGTTATATGTTTATTGTGATTTCACATTTAAATATTCTCTGTAGGTTTTATAGCAAAACACTTGATAGATTGAGCTAAAATTTTGTGGAATACTCAAAAATAGTATAAGAAATCGCTGTAATGTACCAGAGTATTAATATTTTGTTAAAACATTTATTAACTGTGAGTTAATTATCAAACCACATTTGAATGAATGAGTCAGGTAAAATATTATTGGTGAGGGGATGCGGGCAAAAAATCATTCTTACTTATCGACAGTTGGTTCTAGCATTGATTCCTGTATTATCTAGACTATGAAAACTGTTAAAAAATATATTTTTAATTGTCGATGGTTGATTTTCATACTTAGCACAAATTTCTGCAGTACATACACATTACTGCTTTTTCACTCACACACCTTATAATACACACAATACATATAATACACTTACATATAACCTAACCTAACCTAACACACATACAACTTATATATCAAGTGGCAGCCCTATTGAAAAAAAACACGTATAATTATACGTATAATAATACGTATAATTATACGTATAATTGTACGTATAATTATACGTATAATTATACGTATTATTATACGTATAATTATACGTATTATTATACGTACAATTATACGTATAATAAGACATACGAATTTGAAACGAGAATTATACGTATAATTATACGTATAATAAAACGTATAATTAATTATACGTATAATAATACGTATAATAATACGTATAATTATGCGGGGCGGTTCAAATACTACACAATTAAATTCTACATCGTTAAAACCCTACACGTCAAACTCTACACAGTTAAATTGCACACCGTTAAACCTTATACAATTTATTTTTTAAATTCTACACACTTAATGTGTACAATGTTAAACTCTACACAAATTTATTTTGTAGTGAAAAATTAATTTCTTTAAATTCAACACGGTTAAATACCACAACGTTAAACTCTACATATATTTCTTTTGCAATAAAAAATTAATTTTCTTAAATTTAACACAGTTAAATTCCACATCGTTAAATTCTACACATATTTATTTTGTAATGAAAAATTAATTGCATAAAATTCTACACAGTTAAATTGTTCACCGTTAAACTCTCCATTAATTTATTTTGTATTATAAAATAAAATTTGTTTAACTCTACACAGTTAAGTTGCATATTGTTAAACTCTACAAAAACTAATATTATAACATAAAATTAATTTTAATAAATTCTACACCTTTAAATTGCACACCGCCAAACTCTTCACATAATGATTTTATAATAGAAAATAAAAATGATTAAATTCTACACAGTTAAATTGCTCACTGTTAAATACTAAACAATTTATTTTTTAAATTCTGCACAGTTAAATTCCACATCGTTAAATTCTACACAGATTTATTTTCTAATGAAAAATTAATTGCATAAAATTCTACACATTTAAATTGTTCACCGTTAAACTGTCCACAAATTTATTTTATAATAGAAAATAAAATTTGTTGAACTCTTCACAGTTAAATTAAACACACTTAAACTCTACACACACTAATCTTATAATATAAAATTAATTTTATTAAATTCTACACAATTAAATTACACACCGTTAAACTCTTCACAAAATTTAATTTAAAAAAAATAAAAATTTATTAAACTGTACCCCGTTAAATTGCACATTGCTAAACTCTAAACGATTTAGTTTTTAAATTCTACACAATTAAATGCTACAATGTAAAATTCTACACAAATATATTTCGCAATTAAAAATTAATTTCGTTAAATTCTACATAGTTAATTTCCACACTGTTAAACCATACACAAATTATTTTTTAATTGTACACAATTAAATTGTACAATGTTAAACTCTACGCAAATTTATTTCATAACAAAAAATAAGTTTTGTTTAATTCTGCACAGTTAAATTGCACACCGTTAAACCATATACAATGTATTTTTTAAATTCTATACATTTCAATTGTACAATGTTAAACTCTGCACCAATTTATTCTTTAGTGAAAAATTAATTTTGTTAAATTCTACTCTGTTTAACTCTAAACTGTTAAATTCTACACAAATTTATTTTGTAAATGAAAAATTAATTTTGTTGAATTCTACACAGATAAATTCCACACCGTTAAACTCTTCACAAAATTTAATTTTAAAAAAATATAAAATTTATTGAACTCTACACAGCTAAATTGCACATTGTTTAAACTCTAAACAATTTAGTTTTTAAATTCTACATAATTAAATGCTACAATGTAAAATTCTACACAAATTTATTTCGCAATTAAAAATTAATTTTGTTAAATTCTACATAGTTAATATCCACGCAACGTTAAACATCAGACAAATTATTTATTAAATTGTACAATGTTAAACTCTACGCAAATTTATTTAAAAAAAAATATATGGCGGACTACTTTTTTGAAAATAGATCCAATTTTCTTGAAAATTGTTACTCGGGGGTTTTTGGGGTCGCTGATTACGAATCCGATGTCAGATTTTTCGAATCTTCAAAATTCAAAATGACGGATGTTTATTTAAAAATATGGAAAAAACACAAATCTCAACAAGCGGACTACATCTTTTAGCATTCTAGAAAGATATTTTTTCTACTTTCATTTATCTACATTCATTTATTAGATCCGCCATTTGAAATTTTGAAAAACTGACATCGGATTTGTAATTAGCGACCCGGAAAACCCACAAGTAACCATTTTCAGGCAACTTGGATCAATTTTCAAAAAAGTCGTCCGCCATATTGGATCCGCCATTTCGAATTTTGACAAACTAACATTAGATTCGTAATCAGCAACCCCGAAAACCTCCCATTAATCAGGTTGCAAGAAAATGCAACCAAATTTTTAAATAATCATCCGCCATATTGGATCCGCCATTTTAAATATTGAAAATCTAATATCAGATTCGTAATCAGCGACCCCAAAAACCCCCGAGTAACAATTTTCAAGAAAATTGGATCTATTTTCAAAAAAGTCGTCCGCCATATTTTTTTTTTAAAAAATAAATTTGCGTAGAGTTCAACATTGTACAATTTAATTGTGTACAATTTAAGAAATAATTTGTCTGATGTTTAACGTTGCGTGGATATTAACTATGTAGAATTTAACAAAATTAATTTTTAATTGCGAAATAAATTTGTGTAGAATTTTACATTGTAGCATTTAATTATGTAGAATTTAAAAACTAAATTGTTTAGAGTTTAACAATGTGCAATTTAGCTGTGTAGAGTTCAATAAATTTTATATTTTTTTAAAATTAAATTTTGTGAAGAGTTTAACGGTGTGGAATTTATCGGTGTAGAATTTAACAGTTTAGAGTTAAACAGAGTAGAATTTAACAAAATTAATTTTTCACTAAAGAATAAATTGGTGCAGAGTTCAACATTGTACAATTGAAATGTATAGAATTTAAAAAATACATTGTTTATGGTTTAACGGTGTGCAATTTAACTGTGCAGAATTAAACAAAACTTATTTTTTGTTATGAAATAAATTTGCGTAGAGTTTAACATTGTACAATTTAATTGTGTACAATTAAATAATAATTTGTGTATGGTTTAACAGTGTAGAAATTAACTATGTAGAATTTAACGAAATTAATTTTTAATTGCGAAATATATTTGTGTAGAATTTTACATTGTAGCATTTAATTGTCTAGAATTTAAAAACTAAATCGTTTAGAGTTTAGCAATATGCAATTTAAATGTGTACAGTTTAATAAATTTTTCTTTTTTTTAAATTAAATTTTGTGAAGAGTTTAACGGTGTGTAATTTAAATGTGTAGAATTTAATAAAATTAATTTTATATTATAAGATTAGTGTGTGTAGAGTTTAAGTGTGTTTAATTTAACTGTGAAGAGTTCAACAAATTTTATTTTCTATTATAAAATAAATTTGTGGACAGTTTAACGGTGAACAATTTAACTGTGTAGAATTTTATGCAATTAATTTTTCATTAGAGAATAAATCTTTGTAGAATTTAACGATGTGGAATTTAATTGTGCAGAATTTAAAAAATAAATTGTTTAGTATTTAACAGTGAGCAATTTAACTGTGTAGAATTTAATCAATTTTATTTTCTATTATAAAATCAATTTATGAAGAGTTTGGCGGTGTGCAATTTAACGGTGTAGAATTTATTATAATTAATTTTATATTATAATATTAGTTTTTGTAGAGTTTAACAAAATGCAACTTAACTGTGTAGAGTTAAACAAATTTTATTTTATAATACAAAATAAATTTATGGAGAGTTTAACAGTGAACAATTTAACTGTGTAGAATTTTATGCAATTAATTTTTCATTACAAAATAAATATGTGTAGAATTTAACGATGTGGAATTTAACTGTGTTAAATTTAAGAAAATTAATTTTTTATTGCAAAAGAAATATATGTAGAGTTTAACGTTGTGGTATTTAACCGTGTTGAATTTAAAGAAATTAATTTTTCACTACAAAATAAATTTGTGTAGAGTTTAACATTGTACACATTAAGTGTGTAGAATTTAAAAAATAAATTGTATAAGGTTTAACGGTGTGCAATTTAACTGTGTAGAGTTTGACGTGTAGGGTTTTAACGATGTAGAATTTAATTGTGTAGTATTTGAACCGCCCCTAATTATACGTATTATTATACGTATAATTATAATTCTATTAAAAATAGAATAATAGAATAGAATAGATTAATTAGTAGCAAAAATGCGCTGAAAATTTTTAGAAATTTTAAAATGCAAATTAAATTTCACGAAAAAAAATATCGTCGAATGTCAATTCAAGCAGTCACCCATCCAAGTACTAACCGCGTCCAACGTTGCTTAACTTCTGTGATCTGATGAGAACTTGTTCCTTCGCCTTGGTGTTTCCGCTGTCTTGTCTTGATTACTAACTTTGTCGTATAAGTATAACTAAAAGTGAGGTTAGGTGCGATACAATACTTATACGACAAAGTTATTAATCAAGACAAGACAGCGGAAACACCAAGGCGAAGGAACAAGTTCTCATCAGATCACGGAAGTTAAGCAACGTTGGACGCGGTTAGTACTTGGATGGGTGACTGCTTGAATTGACATTCGACGATATTTTTTTTCGTGAAATTTAATTTGCATTTTAAAATTTCTAAAAATTTTCAGCGCAATTTTGCTACTAATTAATCTATTCTATTCTATTATTCTAGTTTTAATAGAATTATAATTATACGTATAATAATACGTATAATTATACGTATTATTAATATTATTATACGTATTATTATACGTATAATTAATTATACGTATTATTATACGTATAATTATACGTATAATTCTTGTTTCAAATTCGTATGTCTTATTATACGTATAATTATACGTATAATAATACATATAATTATACGTATAATAATACGTATAATTATGCGTATAATTATGCGTATAATTATACGTATAATAATACGTATAATTATACGTATTATTATACGTACAATTATACGTGTTTTTTTTCAATAGGGAGAAAAATTCACAAATTGTGAGAAACGCTGGTTAAGTGAATAAATGATTTATTTTACTTTTATAATTATATTATTGACTCTTAATAGAATAAAATATATTGCGGTCAATTAATTATGGTTTAGTAATTAAACCCTCATAACAAAAGGATATCCCTAGGATATCCATATCAATGGTCGATATCCTAGAATGGTCCCCAGGATATCTTGGGATATCCATAGGATATCCAAACCGCTGATCTGTGGGATATCAACAGGACATCCATAGGATATCCACAGGATATCCCTAAGACATCCACAAAATATCTATTGGATATTATATCGCAGGATATCCATGGGATATCCTCGGGAACACACTTTAAGAAATATATTTTAATAAACACCCTAAAGAATTTTAAATATTAGAAAAATGCCCATGTGTAGCCATTTTTCCCAACTTTTGACTATACTTTAAACATATCGTTTTCTCACTATACTTACTATATTTTTGACTTCTCTACAAAATTTTAGCGTAATTTATAAATTATTTTGATAGAAAACCAACGGTGAATATTTACATGTTTAATCAATTGTCACATGACTTAAATGTGCAAATATTCTTTTTTTCATAAGTATAAAAGTATTTTGTCTTCAATTAAAATAAATTAACAGTAAATAAAATTAAAAAGTTATTTTGATTAATACCTAAAAATATGAACATGATGCATAACACAGTTCTCAAGAAGCTCAGCTTCCTGTCGATAAGTGTCAATTTTTTTATTATCATTCTGCTTTAATAATTTAGAAAGGTTCATTAGGCGATACATGCATATCTCCAATTGTAAGCATATTTGATGCATCATAATTGCAGCAATAATTTCAACGGCCGAATATATTGCTGATGTTAAACTAGCAGCTAAACTTTGAAAAAACCCGGTAATCCAAAAACGAAATTTAGAATTAATATCGTACGGTATCCAAGTTTTATAGATTAAAAGTTCATTCGTCAGCGGTACTATGATAAATGGGAGTAAAGGAGCAAAGCATGAAATCGCAAAAAATCGTGAATTGAATCTATAAAAATATACACAAATTTACATCATCATTTCTATATTTAAAACAAATACCATTTAATTGACTCAAATAATAATTATTTGGATCAAGTAAATATTTATTTGATAATAGTCAAGTAATCGATTATTTGAATCGAGAAATTATTATTTATTTTAAATTAAATGTTTTCATTAATCAATTGGTATAAAAATAATGAAATATATTTTTTTCACGTTTCACTAACCTGTCATTTTTAAAAAATTTAAATTGTATCGACAATTCGTGTCTATTTTGTGTAATGCATTTTGTGTCTAGAAACATATTTTTAAAAGCGATAAAATCATTACGATAAATTTTAATATAAGTCATTTTAAAACACAAAGTAGTTAAACCAGTAAAATAAATAATATTATCTATTAGTAAATCCGTATTATTAAAATTTAGACACATATTTACAAAAAATGTACTTGTGTGAAAGTACATTATAATTATTATAAAAATGCTATAAACATTATAAATAAAGATGGACCATTTTGATGTAAAGGATATTGGTCGCCAAATTCCCAAATACTCCATTAATGTAAAAGATAATTCCCCAATAGGAAACATAGTTGTTAGATTAAAAAAATTTTGTTTTTTAATATTATAAACTTATTGAGTTAAGAATTTCTTAAGTATATATCACGCATTTTTCAAAAAGAAATTGTAATTTGTTTTTCTCAACTGGTTCTTTTGTCGTCAAACATAATTTTATACGTTTTGCAAAATAGCATAGACGACTTATTCACTGTGTAGTATAAAGAATAGTGATTTTGAAATGCATGTGAATTTTGCCTATAGACAGGTAAGCGAAGTACAAAGAGAATACTTAAAAATATGAATGCAATTTGTGGATATAATTACTCTGTAATTATACGATACTTGGACCGAGTGTTGATATTGATTAAAGATATTTAAACATTAATTTCAAGTGTTCTTAGACTATAATAACAGTTGCTTTTTAAAACTGTCCCTTCAAGATGAATAATTAATTATTCGTATTCCCACAAAAAGCATGCATTTGATTTTAGTCGATCTGAAGACGCAAAAGAGTAGACACTTCTTTAACAGAGTATAAAATAAATTTAGTTTTATGAATATATAGGTACTATAATAATCATTCTTGAGAAACAATCGTCATGTAAAATAAATTAAAATAACAATCCTACGCATATTAAAAAAGGAAACTATTTAAATAAGAATCAATTGCAAAACAAATTGTTGTCCCTGCATTGATGCTTGAGATGGTGATTCTCTACGATTATTCTCGCATTATCAATTAATATAATTAGTTGAATCCTTGATTTTCTAAGAGCAATAAGGATTGTTACTTTTAATGTAGCTCATTTTACAAATTATTCCTAATTTTTCTTATTATTATTATAATTTTGTTAAAAAATATATTTGAATTGGTTATAAAATTAAAAATTTTTTATTAAGTGCTTGTAGGAGGCAAAGCGAAATAAAACAGAGTGTATTTCAGTTTAGAAATAATCTTTATTCAAAGAGGGATGGTTCATGACTGACTGTCACTAGCCTTTTGCAAGGTTTATATAACTTTACACTGTAAAAAGAATGTACTAAAACAGTACCGATTTTAGGTATCAAAATAGAACCAAATGACAATTTAGTACCTGAAGTCGGTATTAAATTAATACATAAATAAAAATGAGGAAGGGGTTCTTTCATAGGTCTTTTTGGCAAACGATCCTTCAGGCAAATTACAGAAGTAAGAAAACAGTGTTTTATTACTTCTGGAAAGACCCAAAAAGCAAATGTAGAGAAATATGTATTTTTAATATAATAAATAAAATAGTTGTTCCCTACATGCTTAATTTTTCTACCGTTCATTTTTTAATTTTTACTCAACTATGTTGTTGATTGTATTAAATTAAACATGGAGAATGAGGCTTTCAAGACCTAAAAAAGAACATATAGATTATAAAGAATAATACTCTCTAAATTTAAATCAGTGAAAAAGTCATTGGTCTCAAATCAGTCGCTAAATTCTATCTATTTGAATCAGTAACATTTCACTGATTTTCAGTCAAAGTAATTGATTCTCCAGTGAAATGTCACTAACTGTCAGTGAAAACCACTGAATCAAATAGCTAGAATTTAGCGACTGATTTGAGACCAGTGACTTTTTCACTGATTCATATTGAGAGAGTAATAAAATATTAAAATGAACATATATCAAACATAATTTTACCTTAACAAAAGTGTTTATAGACATCGTGATGATTGATACACCATTTAATTCAATAGGCCTACTTGATCGTACCATTATCATGATCAATTCTTTTTTTGTTTTTTCCGATAACGTAATCCAATTCATACGATAAATTGTATCAGATACTGAAAAACTCTTAAAAACAAGTAACATTTAAGTGACTTTTATGCACTAAGAGAAACTATTTGTTGTGATTATCATTTCGTTAGTAAGAATATTGTTGCTAATTTATATTAGTTACTGTTACCATTTAGTTAGTCAGTCTAACCATTCCGTTAGTAAAGGGACTAATTAAATATAGATATTCCAACAAACTAATTAGTTAAACTAAATTAAATGAAACATTTTTTTTATAATATTTATTAATATAAAGATCCAAAATAATCACTTTTTAAGTAAAAACAATTGTTTCTTTAAAAAATGCAACAATAAATAATAAAAAAAATTCACTTTTTTTCTGCACCACCAAATGAATTGGTTTAAAGATCAAAATTTTTCTTATTTTTCAAGCTTTCATTCCGCACAAGAAAAATGACGTGATTCGAAATAGTAAACTCACAATTTATTAAACAATGTTTGTTTACTTTTTTATATTTTATTTATTGTGAAACGTTTGCTATAGTTGCGCTCGACGTTCGGAAGTTGTCGCTCTCGTTATTGATCAGAAGCGCATTACATTAGCTACAAAGCATGTTGTGTGAAAAGTGAAGGTTATGTTGTCATTGAACGAAACGTAAACTTTTCTGGTTATCACATTGAATGGGTTTTAATTACCTACTTTGCAGTAAAAAATCATAAAAAACATTTTTGAAGGATGAAAAACCTCATTTTTCACACATATTTTTTACTATACGCTAGTATAATGAGCTTCTGTTCAATAACGAGAGCGACATCTTCCTAACGTCGCGCGCAGCGATAGCAGACGTTTCACAGTAAGTAAAATACAAAAAAGTAAACAAACATTGTTTAATATGGTAAATTGTGAGTTAACTATTTCGAATCACGTCATTTTTCTTGTGCGATATGAAAGCTTGAAAAATAAGGCAAATTTTTATCATTAAACCAATTTATTTGGTGGTGCAGAAAAAAAGCTAATTTTTTTTTTTATTATATTTATTGTTGTATTTTTTAAAGAAACAATTGTTTTTACTTAAACAGTGATTATTTTGGATCTTTATATTAATAAATATTATAAAAAAAATGTTTCATTTAATTTGGAAAGGTTACTCCGAAAAGTGTTTAAAAAAACTCATGGAATGGTACTTATGCCAACTAATAAAAATAGTAACCACAACTAATGAATTAGGAGCAGTATAGTTTACTAACTAAAAATGGTAACCCCAACCAATCTTTTCTCTCAGTGCAGAATAGTTTTTTTTAATCGAAAAAGGTACTGTACATATATGTATACCAGCGGTTGTGTATATGTGTGAATATATATTAATTAACATATCAAATTACCTTTTGTATCATCAACTCTCCAAAAAAACAATACAGAAAAATCTGCATTAAGAAAATGTTTAATAGTATAAGCATTGTCCAGAATTTAAAGCTCATTATACTCAGTTTTGATAATTGATAAACGACGGTACATAAACTTATAGTAGAGCAAAAAAATTGCATAAAAACCATTAAACTAAATAGATCATTCAACTTTTTCTTCAGTCTATATGTATGATTTCCATTTAGATTTTAAGAAACATAATTTTTGAAAATATAAAATTTGTTAATGTTTAATAGAATAAACATTTTGTGACCGGGAATTAGTTATGTAAACATTCAAAGATCAGATTCAATGTTAAAAAAAAGAGTAAAAGATTCTTTTCTTTTTTTATAAACGACCAGTTTTTATGCTCTTAATTTTGAAAAATGTCACGGAAAAAAATTTAAGAATATATACATATATGGGAGATTCTCCGTGTAGTGTACAATTTGGTTCCTATTATTATAGAATTTTTTTTTCAATTAAAATTAAAATCACAGTATAAACTTTCAAGTATGATAGTCAAGAAATGAAATATCTGTAATGGGCCGGACAAATTGTTTATAATTTTTGTATATTTTAAATAAATTAAATGTAAACCCATCCATGTAATATAAAAAGCTATTGTGGTACTTAATAAAAATTTGCAATAACTTTTAATATTATAACAAACAAAATTTAAAAATAAAAAATATAATTTTGGAAATTTATATCATAATTTATATGGAAATTTATTGTAATTTATGCGGTAATCACATTTCTTGTTTTAAGGCCATAAACAGAAAAATTAAATACAATTTCAGATTTAAGCAAACGTTCTTAAATGTCAAAAAAAATATTGAAAATTACGTATAAATTATGAATTTAACATATTTATTACATGAAATGTGCTGTTATCAAATTTATTTGTTATAAATTTAACCCCTTAACAGAATCCAAAAAACAAATATCTTTGAATAAATTGACAAATATTTTAATCAAAGAAATTTGTGTTTTATTGTTTAAGGAGGTTCATCCCAAAATCGATTTTCTACAGATTTTTAAAAAATTTTTAAGATGTATTATTGACATCACTTTACATGTGTTGTTCAAATTTTATTGAATTTTACCGTATCATTTTCAAGATAAAAATTGATAAAGTTTGAAGTTTTACATGGGAACAGTGAAAAAACATGAAAAATGACCATGTTTTCATTAATTAAAAAAAAACGGTTCTACAGATTTTTTTAAAAAACTAATATGTTTTAAATTATGAGTTTTAACAGTTTTTACAAAAATATGAAATTTTTTTACCGTTTGGTTGTGAAGTAAATGTTAATCAAAATTAGCAACTTTTGAACTTATCCCATGTAAATAAAAAAAAGAAGAGGAGAAACGGCAACATAACCTCTAAATTGGCTAGTAGAGCTCAACTTTTATGGACTATAGCTGTCGGTTTTAAACTTACGGAAAACCCCTAATAGAATGAGTACCGCTTGAAGGGATGAACCTCCTTAAATATGATATTTTATTTTAGTGAAACTAAAATTTTTCTAAATAATAAATTAATTGACAACATTCTGAGTGTAATGGTACAATAAAAATGAATTTTTTATTTATTTCATCCTCTATTGGCTTAATACCTGTAAATATAAACATGATGCAAGACACACTTTTCCATAAGTTTAGATTCCTGTCGATAAGTGTCAATTTTGTCAGTGTCATTCAATTTTACTAAACGAGGAAGATTAACTAGACGATATTTGCATATCTCCAATTGTGCGCATATTTGTTGCATCATAATTGGAGCAACAATTTCAACTGCCGAATATATTGCAACTGATACACTAAGAAATATTGTTTGAAATAATCCGGTAATCCAAAACCGAAATTCAGAATTAACTTTGTACGGTATCCAAGTTCTAAAGATTACAACTCCCTTTGACAATGGTACTAGGATAAACAAAATTGAAGTAACACAGCAAGAAGTCACAAAAATTCGTGAATTCAATCTAAAGGGGAGGGGGGTAAAATATTTAATAGTATTTTATTGGATAAAGTTATTGGCGTAAAAAAAAGTAAAAAGTATTTATTTTTTCACCGACCTGTCATTTTCAAAAAATTTAATTTGTATCGACAATTCATGATTATTTTTTGGATTGCATATTGTGTCTAGAAACATATTTTTAAAGGCGACAAAATCATTACGATAAATTTTAATATAAGTCATTTTAAAACACAAAGTAGTTAAACCAGTAAAATAAATAATATTATCTATTAGTAAATCCGTATTATTAAAATTTAGACACATATTTACAAAAAATGTACTTGTGTGTAAGTACATTATAATTATTATAAAAATGCTATAAACATTATAAATGAGAATGGACAATTTTGATGTAAAAGATATCGGTCGCCAAATTCCTATATACTCCATTATTGTAAAAGCTAGTTCTCCAATAGGAAACATGGTTATTATAGCTTTTTACTAGATATTTAATATATTATATACTTAATGTTATAATTTTTCAACTTTATCACACATGTTTTAAAAACAATTGTAATTTTATAAATCTTGTGGTTTTTTCAATTGATTCTTTCGCCGTTAAACAGATCTATATATGACTTATTCAGTCTGTAGTGTAAAGAATTCTGCACGTGAATTTTGTCTATAGACGAAATAAGCGAAGCATATAGAGAATACTTAAAAATATGAATGCAATTTGTGGATATAATTACCCTGTAATTATACGATACTTGGACCGCGTGTTGATATTGATTAAAGATGTTTAAACATTAATTTCAAGTGTTCTTAAACTATAATAACAGTTGCTTTTTAAAACTGTCCCTTCAAGATGAATAATTAATTATTCGTATTCTCACAAAAAGCATGCATTTGATTTTAGTCGATCTGAAGACGCGAAAGAGTAGACACTTCTTTAACAGAGTATAAAATAAATTTACTTTTATGAATATATAGTAGTACAATCGTTTACTCTCTAAATCTGAATACTATAGCTAGTATATTTCAATGCATTTTCACGAAGAGAAATTTGATTTGAAATGTTGTTATTCAGTACTAGTAATTTAAATATCATTCCTAAAGTAAATCTACTTTTGCCACTGAAGGATGATAAAATCAAAAATGAATTATAAAAGGGGAAACAAGTAAATATTTTTAATTTTAAGAAACTTTTCAGCGGGATTTTTATTATATCTTTAAAATATTTAAACATCGAATCTCTTCAAAAATTAAATCCAAGTTTTTTTGCTTCCTCGTGGAGGAAGCTTTGTAGTCCCTTCGTTTATAAAAATTTTCAAAGTGGCGGAAACAAATTTTTTCTAACACATGCACCGAAAGTACACCATTTCTTACCTGTAAAGGAGGAGAACTGTATGCCTTTCCCGGCGAGCGGGAGGGAAAGTTACGTTCCCTCCCGCTGACATCACTGACAGGGAGGAAAAGTACTTTCCCTCCCTGTGACGTCACTAGCAGGGAGGGAATGTAACTTTCCCTCCCCGTAACGTCAATTTTTATTTCTGTTGTTTATAAAACATTAAGAAGAACAAGAACAGTATATTATTGAATTTACTGTCAAACTATCGATTCGAAATATCGAGTTTAAGTTTAATGTTGATATTTCGATATATCGAATCAAATTTAAAATCGATAATCACGTAAACAATAATGTACACTTTCTTCGCTTGGCGCCTCTGTACGTTTGTTGTCATATGTACTTTCAGTATGTGTGTTAGAAAAAATAGTATGTGCAACTCGGGAGGAAAATGATTTCCGTCTCGTGTATTTGCAGTTCTCGTCTTCTCTCGCAAACCCTCCCCTTCGGCTTGGGCACTTCCTACGTCTCGAACTGCAAACTGCACTCGCGGAAATCAACCATTTTCCTCCCTAGATGCATAATATACTATTTTTCTATATAGAAACATGTTACATGAGATCCTGATCAATTGTCCATGTGTATGTGTGTGTGTGTGGATCTCTTTTTTGTTTAGACGATAACTTTAACAGGTTTTAATGGATTTATATAAAATTTGGTAGGCTCATTTATCATATTAATTTCTCAAATCTGACCAAAGGATTTTTAAAAATACCCAAGAAACAAAATTTTATCGTCTTTTATCAAAAAATTTTTTTTCTAATCGAAAAAAATTTTAAATAGAAAAATTTAAGGTTATATATAATAAAATCGTATTCCTTACGTAAAGACAAATCGATTGGCATATATAAGGCATTTCATATGAGAATACGGGGTTACATGTCGGATTTTTCTCAAAATTCGGTAAATTGTAGTGATAGTGGTGCTAAATAAGTGTACAAATTTTGAATTTGAAATTTTTAATATTTTTCGAGATATTTACAATAACAAATTACAGCAATATTTTTTTGCTTTACATATAAATTTTTTCCTATTAAAAATAGAGAAAAATGTTGTAAATGTTTTTTACGCAGAAGATCTTAATCTTTTAGAAAAAAATTATTTTTTAAAAAAATTTAAATTCATAAACAATTTGTTTAAAAAATAAAATTAGTTTATAACTTTTAACCATGTTCTCCCTCATTTAGAAGAGCGAAAAAAATCATGAATATTGTTTAAGTCATAATAAATTGATAGTTAAATTTTTGAGATGGCATTATTTTTTGTTTTCGAGATATTAATTAATTAACTAACAAAAGTTAATAAAAATGAAATATTTTACGAACAAATAAATTTAGAGTTATTTTAAAAACACCATTAGAATGCTTATCAAAATCCGCATCCAACGAGACCTATCTGAACTATTTCGAATAAACGGGTATTAAATTAATAATTAATAATAAAATTTATTTGAATAATTAATAACATTTAAAGAAATAAAGATAAATCGTCAATTCTTTTTTTATTTAGAAGATCATCTAATTCTGTGTAAATAAAACCAGTATAAATAACATTTTTCAAATCTAAATTATTAACAGATGATTATTGAAAATTGAGGTTTCAGCACCCTACGACACAAGTTGGAGGGGGCTGCCTACCTACTCGGCATGGTATTTTTCAGTCTTTTTCTAAATAACATTTTATAATAAATTTTTTATTCTTGTGCAAGAAATTGCAATAAAATAGTCTGCCTAAGAAAAATTGAATTTTTTTGAAAATTTTTTTTGACGAAAAGCGCTTTTTTGTTGGTTATAGGTGTCTTCCTCTAATCGGATCTGGCTGTCAATTTTTTTCTACACTTTTAGGTGTATTTTGTGCAAGAAATTGCAATAAAATAGTCTGCCTAAGAAAAATTGAATTTTTTTGAAAATTTTTTTTTGACGAAAAGCGCTTTTTTGGTGATAATATGGGTCTTCCTCTACTCGGATCGGGCTGTCAATTTTTTTCTACACTTTTAGGTGTATTTTGTGCAAGAAAATGCAATAAAATCGTCTGCCTAAGAAAAATTAAATTTTTTTGGGAACTTTTTTTTAATTTTGGATTTATGTGTTGGATGACTTTTAGGTGGTAATAGGAGTCTTCCTCTACTCGGATCTGGCTGTCATTTTTTTTCTACACTTTTGAGTGTATTTTGTGCAAGAAATTGCAATAAAATAGTCTGCCTAAGAAAAATTAAATTTTTTTGAAAATTTTTTTTTGATGAAAATCGCTTTAATGGTCATAAAATTGGTGTTCCTCTACTCGTATTTGGCTGACAATTTTTTTCTACACTTTTAGGTGTACTTTGTGCAAGAAATTGCAATAAAATCGTCTGCCTAAGAAAAATTGAATTTTTTTGGGGACTTTTTTATGATTTTGGATTTATTGGTCGGATGAATTTTTGGTGGTAATAGGTGTCTTCCTCTACTCGTATTTGGCTGTCAATTTTTTTCTACACTTTTCGGTGTATTTTGTGCAAGAAAATGCAATAAAATCGTCTGCCGAAGAAAAATTGAATTTTTTTGGGGACTTTTTTATGATTTTGGATTTATGGGTCGGATGACTTTTTGGTGGTAATAGGTGTCTTCCTCTACTCGTATTTAGCTGACAATTTTTTTCTACACTTTTAGGTGTATTTTGTGCAAGAAATTGCAATAAAATCGTCTGCCTAAAAAAAATTGAATTTTTTTGGGGACTTTTTTATGATTTTGGATTTATGGGTCGGATGACTTTTTGGTGGTAATAGGTGTCTTCCTCTACTCGTATTTGGCTGTCAATTTTTTTCTACACTTTTAGGTGTATTTTGTGCAAGAAATTGCAATAAAATCGTCTGCCTAAGAAAAATTGAATTTTTTTGGGGACTTTTTTATGATTTTCAATTTATGGGTCGGATGACTTTTTGGTGATAATAGGTGTCTTCCTCTACTCGTATTTGGCTGTGAAATTTTTTCTACACTTTTAGGTGTATTTTGTGCAAGAAATTGCAATAAAATCGTCTGCCTAAGAAAAATTGAATTTTTTTGGGGACTTTTTTATGATTTTCAATTTATGGGTCGGATGACTTTTTGGTGGTAATAGGTGTCTTCCTCTACTCGTATTTGGCTGTGAAGTTTTTCTAAACTTTTAGGTGTATTTTGTGCAAGAAAATGCAATAAAATCATCTGCCGAAGAAAAATTGAATTTTTTTGGGGACTTTTTTATGATTTTGGATTTATGGGTCGGATGACTTTTTGGTGGTAATAGGTGTCTTCCTCTACTCGTATTTGGCTGTCAATTTTTTTCTACACTTTTAGGTGTATTTTGTGCAAGAAATTGCAATAAAATCGTCTGCCTAAGAAAAATTGAATTTTTTTGGGGACTTTTTTATGATTTTCCATTTATGGGTCGGATGACTTTTTGGTGGTAATAGGTGTCTTCCTCTACTCGTATTTGGCTGTCAATTTTTTTCTACACTTTTAGGTGTATTTTGTGCAAGAAATTGCAATAAAATCGTCTGCCTAAGAAAAATTGAATTTTTTTGGGGACTTTTTTATGATTTTCAATTTATGGGTCGGATGACTTTTTGGTGATAATAGGTGTCTTCCTCTACTCGTATTTGACTGTGAAATTTTTTCTACACTTTTAGGTGTATTTTGTGCAAGAAATTGCAATAAAATCGTCTGCCTAAGAAAAATTGAATTTTTTTGGGGACTTTTTTATGATTTTCAATTTATGGGTCGGATGACTTTTTGGTGATAATAGGTGTCTTCCTCTACTCGTATTTGGCTGTCAATTTTTTTCTACACTTTTCGGTGTATTTTGTGCAAGAAAATGCAATAAAATCGTCTGCCTAAGAAAAATTGAATTTTTTTGGGGACTTTTTTATGATTTTCGATTTATGGGTCGGATGACTTTTTGGTGGTAATAGGTGTCTTCCTCTACTCGTATTTGGCTGTCAATTTTTTTCTACACTTTTCGGTGTATTTTGTGCAAGAAAATGCAATAAAATCGTCTGCCTAAGAAAAATTGAATTTTTTTGGGGACTTTTTTATGATTTTGGATTTATGGGTTGGAAGAC